CTTCTACAGATATAAAACGTGTGATGTTCATTTTAAAATTACTAGTCGAGCCTACTATTGACCATCTAATTATGCTGAGTTCCATTTATAAACATAGCTAACCACTAAGTTTATGGAGACTTTTTGTGCTGCTTTAATAGGATATTGATCGAGAGCATAGTTTGAGTGGACTGCCATTGAATTGTGTAATGGCGAACAAAAGGCAAGGTCAGAGCAACTGTTCATCCCAGGGCTGCAGTCTATTTTTTATTATAATCTTTCTGTTTCTTCCTTTAAAGCTCAAGTCCAAATGGCTTCTTTCAAAAGATCTTGCTTGAAAACATAAACTGTTTTTAAAATTAATTTCCATGCAATGATAATAGCTATCATGTTACTTAACAGAGAACAACCAACAGGACATTCATTCAGAAAAGAAAGTTTCATATCTAACTCACTTTAATCAAGCTATGCACTAAGTACAGATATCTAAATGCTATCCAAGAGGACTGAATGCCTTAGTGTCTTATCCTTACAGCCATTTCCTCTTTAGTCCTTGTATGGAAGTACATCGTGTATTTTCAAGTTTAGCTTTATTCCTACCACAGAGTTTCATTTTCTCACTGTGCCTTGTAGCTGAGTTACTTCTGTTTTAGTGCTTCTATCAGGGCAGGTTAGAACATTGCCAATTGTTCTTTATTTTGCTGGCCTGAAAATCTATGTGGGTGAACATCAGTATTTGAGGATACCTCAAGGATGCAGAGACTTAAAAAAAAAAAAAAGTTTAAAACCGAACTGCAGTTTGGATCTTAATGATTCTTGTGTGAGAACATAGAAAAAAAATGCACACTTCGAAGGCAGAAAACAGCCACTAGGGTGCCACCTCATGCCAGGCTGTGGCATATGCCCGGCTCCATTCACTCTGTCTCCATTGACTAAGAACTTGGGAATCCTGCAGCAGCCTAGCTTTGTGGCTGAGCCAGGACAATTCGGCTGCCGGACTTTAATGGATTCTGCAGCAGGGCAACGGGAACCAAAAATCAGTCTGGGTAGCAGAGAGAGTGGTTTTCACACCCAAAGGCTCCAGGGCTGGCCACAGTGTGTGTACTGAACATCCTGGCTTTTCAGAATTCCAAGGCCATGAAGTCACCCTTAGCCATGAAGTTTACTTAACCCTTGCAGCCCGCCTGGGTGAGCAAACCACTGCTAGAAAGGGGGAACGCACCGGGCCACAGTCACAATGGGCTGTGTGTGTTTGTGGTTTTCCTCTTTCCCAGTGAAGTAATAGAGCTTTCAGAGTCACTCCACCAACTTCAAGTAAAACACAGTCAGCACTTTGCAAGGAAGTGGGCAGGAGGAGTGGGTCTTTGGGAGAAACTTTCTGAGTGCGCACCGGGAGATACTCCGGAGATACAGCCGCAGAGCACGAATTGGTAAGGGAAAACACTGCTGCGCACGACCACGCACAGTGGGTAAGGAGTGCGGCTCAGTTCTCGGCAGCCACTTCCAGGGAAGCGGCCGATGCGAAAACGCCTCTGGGAGGCTTTGTTTGAGAACGCGGCATCATGTGAGAGCCATTTCAACAGATGGTTCCTGTCTCCTTCCTCAGCACTGCGCTAAAACAACTCCCTGCCTCTCAACCACATTGTTCACACTTGCACGGCCCTCCCCCCAAGCAGAGCTGACTACTTCTCTCCAGCCCAATCTGTATTTCCCCCTGCCCCGGAACAAAGTCATAAATAAGGAGAACTACTTTCAGCTGGTCCTAACACGGGGGAAGAAGGAGAGAGAGGACAAATAAGCGATTTATTTTTAGGCTGTAGGACCTTCTTTGCTGTGGAAACTGAATTTTCCTTTCTTGTCTTTCATGGATTTTTGATAATAGGGAAAATTTTAGGGTGGTGTGCAGGAGCCCAGGGTAAGCACAGCCTGTGGGAGCAGGCAACCTTGGTCGCCAGCAGGAGTCCCCCATGCCGGCAGCTCTTGGTATGTGGTCTGCCTAATTGTACCTCACCCAACGTGGGTCGCTGATCTCCTTCTAAGGCTAACTCAGCAGCTAACCCTGTCACTGTGGGTACCACAGTGGCTGAATGGTGCCCCCATCTTCCCATTAAATTCAAAAGGACATACATTAAGAACAGAATTGGAAACGAGGAGAAAAAAAATTGTATTTGTAAATACTGAGGTTCTTGACAGAAAACTTTCAAGGGAAGCCACTATGACTGATTAGTTGAAAAGCGCCAGGCTATCCCAGTCTATGTGGTCATATTTAGGTGTGATGGGGCTGGGACAAAAGGGAAGAAGATTGGGAAGAAATTCACAACATGGTGGAAGCCACTGAAAGCAATGAAAACATCCAGATGAAAGGCAAAAAGTATGAACAGAATACAGACCACTGAGGGGCTGGGAGCTATAGTGGGATGAACAGGTGAAGCACAGGGAATTTGCTGGGCAATGAAACTCTTCTATGTAATACTTCAATCACGCATACGTGGCATTGTGTGTCAAAACCTACGGAACACACAGCATCAAAAGTGCATCCTGAATATAATAATTACATGCCAATATTGGCTCATCAATTGCTAACAAAAGATGTTAATACTAGGGGAAGCTGAAGGGGAGGGCATGAGGGGGTTTCTATCCTTTCTGCTAACCTCAAATTATTAGCTTACAATGCTTCTCTAAAAATAATATTCGTTAAGTAAAATCAAAATGACACATAAAAACCAATCTAGAAAAATTCTGAATCAAGCATTTCACAAATTAATAAGCTAAAATTTGGTCAACTCAACAGGAACTGATTATCTACTATAAGCACAGAATCCTTGAATTCCATGTATCAGGCAGTTATAAAAGAGGCCATAACAAAAATATGTGCAGTGAGCTAGTTGAGAACTCAAAAGAGCAAACAACCTAGCCTCTTGAGCATCACGGTCTCCTGCGTCTTGGATAAAGGGACACCAGTACCAACCACAGGAGACCGGATGAGAGGACATTTACCAAGTGTCTAGCTCAATGCCAGGCATGTGGTGCATGCCTGACAAACACTAGTCACTGTAATTTCTCGTATTCAGATTGCATCATTCTCCCAAAACAGGGCTGGCCCCGTGTGTTTAATCAACAGCTGTGCCCGTTAGCTTAGTTCCACTTCAAGGACACAGAATTTACTCTTGTCTACTCATTTGCAAAAAGTGTGCACTGCAGCTCTAAGAGGGAAGTTTGGCTCTTCCGATGGGGGCCCAGGTAGAAGAGAGCAGCCTTGGAAAAAACGGGGAAGAATTTCAGCTCCACCACAGTGGGCTGAGTGCTAACTCGTTCAGGAAGGTATGTAGGTGAGGAAACCTGAGCTTGGGAATTCTTAGCCCATTAGCCAAGGCAATCTTGTGAAATACACCCTGACAATCTGAGATTTAAGATCTCCAAGGATCAGGGGTCTCTGTCTCACAGCTGATCAGCCAGGCCTGAAGCCATGCGTTAGCTGGCAGCACAGTCTCCTTCTTGGCAAACAGTTTCAGTTAGCACAGGGCCATGTGTGAGCAAGTCCTGGAGTGATTACACAGCAGTGTGCAGAACCGAAAAGCCTTCAGGAGCTCAAAAATTCTTATAGTGCCAGCCACTGGCTGCACAATCCCTTACACAAGGACAGGAAACAAAACCAGGTCCTTCCGCAAATTCAACACCACATCTGGCCAGATCTACTAGCAGGCCTGAAGGCAGTTTGAGCATTCAGTTGGCAATCAGGCTATCTCAAACTACACGAATACCTGATCATAACTGGAATACCAAATCTTCCTTCTAGGGTTACCTTCCCAGTGTTTTCCTTATTTAATACTGTCTTAGTCCCTTGGGCCAGTCTAAAATTACAGATTCTGGAATTATAGGGACCTAACCATTCACCTGCTATTTTATTTGGGGTTAAATGATTTAAACAGATCCTTAGTTTGGTTCATCTGCAAAGATGGGAGTGATTGCACATCTGACAAGTAAATAGCAAGTACTGATTTGCATGACACACACAAAGCCCAAGCACAGTGCCTGGCAGACAGTAAATGCTCAAGAGTCTTGAGATACTCTCCTACATCCATGCCTAGCTCATTTTCTGGACTGAAAGACCCTGCCAGACTATGAAAGACAGCAGAGAGAAAGATAGAATATGGATTCACAAGATCAGGGTAGCTCAATTTACTTTACTTTGTAATCATTCTGAAAAACAGACTGGCTCATTTGTTAATACTGTAAGCCTATAACACTGTGAACAGAGTGTGAACTTGAAATGATAATCCACATTTTCACTCCTCATTTCACAAAGGATGCCACTAAAAACCAATTCTAACAATGTAACAAATACAATTTTGAAGAAGTGGATGGATAGGACAAAAATTTAATAATTTAATAGTTAATTTTTCCTTTTTATGGGACTTAGTACCTCTTTCCATTATAGATATATCCTTAAATAAGCTGTATCTTTAAATAAAAACAAAGAGGTGTCAAGGTTAGGCCACATGGTGTTGAGAGGAGGAGAATCTTACACCTTCTCCTTGGACTAGCTAGATTATGTCATTGCAAAAAATACAATCAATGGGTCTTTGATCAGCAGAACAGAGTGGGGACAGGTAGTCTTCATTCACTGTTGTTAGTGATTATTGACAAGACGGTAATGATCCTGCTGTACTGTGTCACTCACACTGAGGGCATTAGCATTGTTTAAAGGTCAAAACCAAATTCCTTTAAAAGGCAGGATTTCTTAGAAATCAGAGAAGCTGCAGTGTGTTTTAACCATGTTCACACCATCTTCCTGAGAATATGTGAGACACTTGGGATTTCCATCCTTCCTCTACGCCTCACATTAAAATGATATTTAATTTTTCCTGATTTACATTCTTGGCTCTCAAAAACAAACTGTGTGGCAAAATCCTTCCAGTGGGTGAATGGAAAGGGGATTCTGAAAACTTCTTATGTTTCTAAGCAGCCCACACAGAAAATAAGCACAGATTCAAGGTAAATCAAGGCAAAATTGTACTTACTTTGTGACACTCTTACTAGCTCAGTCACACTAAAAACACCTGATGTGACAAAACTGTCCTGGAAGCCCAAATGTCCTGAGGAAACAAAAACAAAAGAAAACCGTGTCAAAAGCAGAAGACATCTGACAATAGAACTCTAACCATTGGTTTCGCTATGATTACAAAGTGTGATGCCCCATCATTTTCGTTGCTCCTGTGAGGAGCCTACGTGGGAGGACACAGTCATTCAGTTATGAAGATAGTTTTTGGTTTGAATCTGGTGGCATGTGGAAAGCTATGACACAACCGGGTGATTTTTGAAATGGCAAAAAAAAAAAAAAAAAAAAAAAAAAGAAGAAAATCGGCAGGAAATCTGAAACAAAAGGCAATCTAAAATAAATAGTTACCTTGGGTGACCTTTGCGACTTTAACAATTGGAATGAAAACAGCATGCCCATTTCATAACTGGTTTAAAACATGGTTCATGAAAGAAACATCTGATGAAGATGAGTAACCCATTCATTTAAGTCAAACAAGATTTAAAGGTGTTCACTTTGTCTCTAGAGGCACTACAGGGTGAATATTTTAAAAGTCCGAACAGAAAAATCAAGTTATCAACACACGAAACATGAAAACAACTCCTTCTGAGAACAAATAAAATTTAAAATTTATATATGTTTAGAAAATAGCTTTCATGCTGGCTATCTTTTTTTTTTTTTTTTTTTGAGAAGATAATCAATGGTTCAAAATTGCTCTATCTTTGAATTTTGTGTCTGGTTCATTTTTGCAGGATAGAATTCATTTCCTTTATGATATCTATACATCCTGTTACTACTTGCTCAATTTATTTTATAATATGCTCAGATACATAAAACCTGAAAATGGTAAGGCATATTTAATCTATAAAAGCATTCTTTCCTATGTTTCTAGAATTTTCTTAGTCTCATGTCGATAGATCCTAGATGAGAGATCTGTTTGAAAGATTAGCTTAACCTTTACCTGATTTTAAATGTTGTATCAAAGGAAACTGCTAGCTGAACGGAATTTTGAAATAATAGTTCTTAGAAATAGAAACATACCTTAAGAAATACAACATAAGAAAATAGACCGATCTGAATATATAGCAACCTATAAATAAAATTCAATTTTATATATGTAACTAAGGAGAAGTGAAGTCACCTACGACACAGTACATTCACCATTAAATTTATTAAGTATCATGGACAAGACACATGCAGAAAATTGCCATGTTTTAGAAGACTATAAATGCATTTACGGTTTCTTCTTCGGGTTACACTGGGTTTTTACATAAAGCTTTTTTTGTTGTTAAACTGGGATTTAAAAGAAGAATCTCAGATAACTTTTTTATGTCATACACACAATCTATGGTATTTAAGACATGACAATCCTAGTATTCAGAACATGCAATAAACTTTTGAAGAATAAAGTAACAAAATTTCGCTTTAAAAGCATGTAAGAAATTTTCCCTGTCAAAACAGCTATACCTAGATATTTAGTTGGCTTTTGTTTGGTAAGTCCTTGAGGTGTTGTCCTTGGATTAAGAAAATGAGAAGTAAAAAGAAATAATAATAAGGAATAAATAAAATTCTCTTGCAATGTTTTGGCCAAACAGAACACAATGTCTCTTTCTTCTTGAGACATCCTTGATACCACATTTATCCCACAGATCGTAACAAAGGAAATCCAAACACAGTGTACACTACAGTTGACTTGAAACACATATAAAAATAACAGGGAAGCTCATAGTCAAACAGGAGAATCTGGGTTGATCTCCAGTTCTTGCTCATCTTTGTCTTCATCTTGTCTTGGGCCAATATTTGTTTCAGTTACCAAATCTGAAATCTTTTTTTTACAGGGAGAACTAACATAGATTTTTAAACAACGTGAATATAAACAGCTTAAATCCTGCCACCAATAAAGAATCTATTTTAAAGACTAACTTGAGTTTGGCATAAGGATTGGGCAGAGGGGTGATGGGAGTGAGAAGGAAGGACATTCTTGAACTGATCCATTCAGACTATTACTCTCTCCCAATTGATATCATTTTTAAGGGTCAGGTGTGGCCCTCTTAAAATATTCATGTTCTCCAGGGTCAGTGCTCATCTCTCTGCGGACACACAATGTTATGCTATTTTGTTTCCTTTCATGACATGAGCTACTAGTCCAGACTGATTTTTGTGAAAACATAAACCAATACTTATTTTGTTCAGTATTGTATCCTTACTGCCTCATATAAAGTTAATGAATGAATTACTTGTTGAATGAGTGTGGAATGGATAGGCCAATGTCTTTCAAATCTTCACCTTTCCTGAAACCTGTCTTCTGAATTCTAAACTCATCATTCTCAGTGTCTTGGACATTCTGTCTACCAATTATACAGGTACGCTCACACCCCGCACATCCAAAGCTGAGCTCATTTTCTTCTCCCAGGCAAACCTATTCTTACTGTTTGCAATTTTCTAAATGACTCCTCCTTCACTGTTTTAGCTTTCTATATTTGGGTGTCATTCCAGATTCCCACTTTTTGTAGTCACCACATGCACCTCATTCCTACTGATTTCTCTTTCCTGACTTTCTTGGCTCAATGTATGTCTCCATCTCCCCTTACTACGTGGATCATTACTTCCTCCCTTTTTCCTGCATCACTGGAAAGCCTCCCAGGGGTATTTTCTCCCAGCATTCTTGGCTTCCTCTCCAACCCATTTTCTTCTTTGCAGCAATCTTACTAACAGGTAAACGCAATGACACACTCATTTAATAAATCGTTGCTAAGCGCTTACCATGTACAAGACCTGGAGCTAAGAGATCAAGATAGATTCCTTACCTTCAAAGAGAAAATACAGCTAAAAACACACAAGCCATTTTTTATATTACAAATGATATGAAGCAAATAGGGTAAGATTTGCTTTAGATGGCACGGTCAGGGAGGGTGTCTCCTCAGCAGTGCTATCTGAAAGATACTAATGAGTGAGCAGAAAAAGAAAGGGAAAGAGCTCTTTAGGCAGAGGAACACAAATGTGCAAAGGCCCTGGGGCAGAAAAAAAAGTTATTGAAGAAACCGAGATAAATCCAATGTTTTCATAGTTCCTGGCCTTATTAGAAAATTTTGCAAGAGCTCTACCATATGAGCTAGCTAAGCCTCTTCTGGCAATACCTCTAATGGCAATGAAATCAGTATAGGAAAGAGAAATCTGCATTCACATGTTCAGGTCAGCACCACTCACAACAGCCAATGTAGGCCACCAAGTTAGGCATCCAACAGTAGATGGACGGATAAAGAAAATGCAGCAGTATACATAATGGAATATTATTCAGCCACCAGAAAAGGAAGGAAGTGCTGAAGTAAAACGTTTGGAATTGGAGATCATAGTGGTGATGAAGAAATACAAATACTATGTGTTCTCTAACATACATGGAAGTTAAGAGGGAATGTCATCAATACAAATCTAGAATGACAGTGAATTCTAGAGGATAGGAAGGGTTGTGGAGGGGAAATGGAGGAAAGTTAGGATACAACTACCAAAATACAGTCATATAATGGTAATAAATTCTAGCATTCCATAGCACAGAGATGTGACAAGAGTTGACTGTATACTGTGTAAAAGAACTGGAAGAGAAACACAGGAAAAAAGGGAATACAGACTAACTGCTTGACTTGATCTGTTCTGGGTATGTGTGCTAAAAAAACTGTACTATGCTACATAAAAATGCACAAGTGTTAGATATTAGTAAAGTTTTTGATAAATTATCAAAACAAAAATGATTAAAAAGAAAAAAAGGAAATATTCCACAAGCTATACAGAGCATTTAGCATGTAACACAAATTCCTTTGCATAATGGCCTCAGTATGGCATCTGTTTCATTCTCCATGCAATTGCTTAAGTTCTTGCTTTTGAACTATAGCATTCTTCATTTTGATTTTAAAGCTTATTTAATTTATTAGAATGGTATAGGAACAGACAGAAAGATCGGCTACCCACTAGTTCACTCCCATTAGTCTCAAATATCTGTAACAGCCACCGCTGGACTAGACGAAACCAAGAAACCACATACTCAAGCTGCGTCCCCTAGATGGTTAGCAGGAGCCAGCACCTGTTGCCTCTTAGGGTGTGCTTTATTGGCAAGTTGGAATGAACAGCTAAGTTTTACACCCAGTCATTCTAAGTTTCGCTAAAGATTCGACCCCAGAGTTCGTTGATCATCTCTTGGCCTAAGGGAACTGTTCCTCCCTAGGTCTGGCTCACCCTCTGCCATGAAGTTGATTCTTCTTCCTGAAATGTCTGCACCTCACACTTGGGCCTTAACCACCTGCTACTGTCCTTTAGGATTCAGCTCCACTGTTGCCTCTGTCAAAAGGCTTCCTTGGTTTCTTTTCCACCCTCATTTGTCCCATTATTGGATAAATATACATATACACACAGATACACACACATATATGCACACAATCACATATATACACAATCATATATAGACACACATTAATAATGGAACATATATATATAATCACACACATATATACAATCACACACATATATATGATTATTATATATATATGCGATATATACAGTATTTCTCCCAGAACATGGTACACAGAATTGTAAATTTATCTTTTTTTCCCCCAAATTATAATGTGAGTCCGTTGGGTGGGCTAAGCATTCTTTGTATCTTTGGGCTACTAGGTGCTTGCACTGTGGCCCGCAAGTGGTAAGTATTCCAGGGGACAAAATTCAAACTGGACTCATCTGTATTTATTTCCCCTTTATAAAAATACTGACAGAACTTTTTTTCCTTATTTCTATTAATACAGTTTAAGCTACATCTGAGCCAATATGCACTGAAAAACTATTAATATGAATCAACTACATAATCCTTCCGAATCAAATAGACCCAAGCAAAGAGCCACTTAAATGAAAACTCTGGTCAAGAAGGTGTCACTAGGAGTGGGCATTTGGTTACATCGCCACTTTGGACACACGCACTCCATACTGAGTCCCAGTGGCTCTGCTACTGATTCAGCCTTCTGCCTTTGCACACCCTAGGAGGCAGCAGATGACAGCTCAACTACTTGGTCTATA